TCGGGCCTCTCAGGGGTGGTACGGCGGGCCCGCACCTACTGTGGCTGGCCAACCACAGGGCAAGAGTCTCTCCCACAGCCCCGTCGAGCTGTGGTGACGATCGGGCTGCCAACCCGCCTGTTTTACTGGGACGCCACGGGGGCACCCAGCGGCACAGGTGCAGGTTCCCTCGAGGAACAAAAGACGGCATAGACATAACCTTCTGGCGGTCAGCGCGAACTTCAGGGATCCGCGCTGGACCCCCCTCCCTGGCGCGCTCCGCGCGCCAGGGAGGGCGCTGGAGGCGCCGACTGGTGGGTCCCAACGCAGATCCAAGAAATCCGCGCGGACCGCCGAAAGTCAATGCTTATGCCGATGTTTGTTCTTCGGTTCACCTCCCCCACCTCTTCCACCTGGTGAGAACATTCATGCCACGCTGCCCTCCCCTCGGGGCAGGAGCGGGGGTAGCGGCAGAGAAGGCAACAGCGATTGCTGCACGGCCCCTCCTCCGCCTGCCTCTCGGCCAACCGCCCACGTCCACCCACACTCTAGACAAGCGCGTTCCACTACTCGCAGAGCAACCGCTCGCAGATGGCCGGGATCCGCCGCGGGGGCTTTACGATTCATTACGCTGAGGCAAGCATGTGTTTGTTTGTCGGGCGTTTGCGAGCAGGCACTTTGCGAGAGGTGGAACGCGCTCGGTGACGCTCGGTGAGAACAACCGTAGGGAGGCACCAACTATACACCAACACCGATCCTGGCCAGGATCAACCTGGGCCCAGGATCGGTGTATATGCCCTCCCGCCATGGGCAGAATGCATATACACCGATCCTGGGCCCAGGATCGGTCTGGGCTGGATCGGTGTAGGTGTATAGTTGGTGCCCTCCGAAACCGCGCCACACTGCCCCCCCTCTCTCGCCGGGCCGGAGCGGGAGCGGGAGCTAGGAGGAAAACAAACCTACCTCGCTTTTGACCACCCTCGCTTCCAAGAGATACCAAGCGATGCCTAATTGCGGCCTGTACGGGTCAGGCCGCTTGACGAGGAGGCGCGTGGTATGACTTGGTTTTGCCTGGAAGCGAAAGCGGGGTAGGTAATTCACGCTCTGAGGAGCGGCCGAGAAGAGCGAGTCTGGAAATGATGCTCGTCGGCCGGCTGGGGAGCCGATGTGCCGGGGCCCCACAGTGGATCTGGATGTCCCTTGGGTCTTCCCCAGGGCCCTTTCTCGAGGGTCAGCCCGACAGCTCATTCGAACACGGCGGAGAAGTGGGATGACGACGAGGATCCTCTATGGGGTCCGCGAACGCTTGAGTGAGGGGGGCGGCACTTCCAAGTCTAGGGCATATGCACATGATGAAAGCATTTCGCAGATCTTCAAGGTTACTGCCGTGAGCCATCTTTATATCCATGAAAGGTCTTTCGGACCCCCCCATGGGTGATACCTCATTATTTTCTTGGCGGCTTTCTTGAAGGACTGGCATCCCACCAATGGGGGGCAACCAATTACTTTTGTTCCGCGGCACGAGGACAGGAGGAAAAGGTTTTCGGACCAGTCCGATTCACCGCCAAGAGAATCGAGGGGGAGCTAAAACTAGAAATCTGTAGCGGCTACTGGTCGTCGGTCTCAGCAACGACGACGAAGCCGAGGAGGCACTTGAGAGCCTGGAATCAGCCACGGCCAGTCCTGAAGGCCTACGGCAGCTGCGCGTCGCGATGACGTGGATTACATCTCTGACGCAGCGCTGGATCGTTAACGAGCTTGACCGATGGCGGCGACTCTCCGGCAGCGCAAGCCGCTCGGAGACGCGCCAGACTGGTTCAGCGCTGACTCGGGTCAGACGGGCGCCTACGAAGCAGCTCCTGGGCTTGGGTCAGCGGAGGAGGAGGGGGAGGAGGAGGAGGAGGAGGAGGAGGAGGAGGAGGAGAAGGAGGAGGAGGAGAGGAGGAGGAGGAGGAGGAGGAGAGTGAGGAGGAAGGTGAGGAGGATGAGGAAGGTGAGTAGGAGGAGAAGCAGGAGGAGGAGGCATGCCGGGGGAGGCTTCATCTCCACGTGGCCCCACAACCTGGGCCAGTCAGAATGGGTCCCGACCCCCGTGGCTGCGAACTCTGACGAGGATGACGTCATGGTCGGATTGGCTCCGGATGCGTTCCAGGAGTTCCAAGATGTACCCTGGGAATCTTTGCAACCTTGCAACGTATCATGGTCATGACCTCTTGATCCTATGCCAAACCTCCGTGCCGAGACCTCCGAATGCGTGATCTTATCCACGTGGATCCCCGGAAACTTCGACCACTGGTGTCTCGTCCCGAACCGTTTCTGACGAGTCCTGAAGACTGGCAGAGGCCCCCAAAACTGGCCATCGCTCGGACGTCCATTTCCTGTGTTTTTTTTCGGTTTCGTGCGTGGATTTTCCGCGAAATGATCAAGGATACTCCTCGATGGTCCTCGCCGACGGAAACATGCACACGTCCGAGCGATGCCAAGAAAAGGTCGCAGACTGCCACAGACCGTCCGTCGTCGCGACTCGTCCGCGACGCGACGAGGTGTGGGCTGCCTGTGCCCCGACACGCCCGGTCCCGGGCCACTGGCGGCGCTCGACCTCGAGTAGCAAAAACAGCAAAGAACGGATTCCAGCTTGGCGGCGCCTAAAAGGGAGGCAGGGCGAGGGGGGGAGGGCGTCTGAGAAGCACCCTGCTTCTTAGAAGGCTCCGGCCTTCTGTCTATAGAGAAGGCCTCGAGTAGCAAAAACAGAAAAAACTGATTCCAGCTTGGCGGCGCCTAAAGGGAGGCAGGGAGAGGGGGGAGGGCGTCTGAGAAGCACCCTGCTTCTTAGAAGGCGCCTTGTGTCTATAGAGAAGGCCAGCGCCTTCTAACAAGCAGGGGTGCTTCTAAGAAGCCTTCCCCCCTCCCCCTATTCCCCTCTGCGCGCGGCTGGTATCCCAGAGATGTAGAAAACACACCTCCAGTAGGGCGCCTGGATCTATGCATATACACAGCCACTGCCAAGCACACCCTGGGCCTGGCATTGATGTGTATATGTCTCACTGGCAGAGCCAGGACGTCGTACACACCGCTCCTGGGCCTAGGATGGGCCTGGCCAGGAGCGGTGCATATGCAACCTCAGGAAGCCATTGAGAACCACCCCTGGGTGATCGTTAGCACCTTAACGAAAATAAGGAATTCGCGGGGGCGGGTTCAGTCGAGCGATGTCGTTAGCACCGCACCAAAACGTACAAATAAATAATGATTCCCCGCCCCCCGCGACCGAAATCAAGATCTAGATCCCGCCGCCCGATTCAGGGCAGCGCCCAGCTCTCAAATTTGGCTCAGCCCAAATACGGCCTAGTTACCAGGCTCCTGCAGGGCCCGTTGCTCTGGCTGAGCCCTCTCCTCTTTGGGCCTACGCAGGGATCGGCACGGGTTGCCAAAGAGACAGGTGGGCTATCGGTGTATGCCCAGGTGCGTTATCTATGATCCAGAGTCGGGTGTTAACAGCCCGCCCCCCGCCCAGGTGGGATGGATCCCAGGGTTCGCAGGCCAGCCCCTCCTCCCTGATGGGCTGGAGCGGGGGACGACGACGACGACGACGACGACGACGACGACGACGACGACGACGACGACGACGACGACGACGACAACGGTGAAAACGACGGCGGCGAAGGCGACGACGACGCCGCAGGGCTCAGGTGAGGGGCCCTCCTCTCTGCTCCTCCTCCTCCTCCTCCTCCTCCTCCTCCTCCTCCTGCTCCTCCTTCTCCTCCTCCTCTCCTCCTCCTCCTCCTTCCTCCTCCTCTCCTCCTCCTCTGTCTCTTTCTTCTCCTCCTCCTCCTTCTCCTCTCCTCCTCCTCCTCCTCCTCTCCTCCTGCTCCTTTTCCTCCTCTCCTCCTGCTCCTCCTCCTCCTCCTCCTTCCCCTGCCCCTGCTCCATCCCCATCTCCTTCTCCTCCTCCCTCCTCCTCCTTGTCCTCCTCCTCCTCATCCTCCTCATCCTCCTCTGTCTCTTTCTCATCCTCCTCTCCCTCCTCCTCCCCCTCCTCCTCTTCTTCCTCCTAGTCCTCCTCCCCCTAGTCCTCCTCCTCCTGCTGCTCCTCCTCCTCGTCGTCCTCCTCCTCCTCCTCCTCCTCGTCATCCCTCTCCCTTCCCCCTTCTCCCTGTCCTCGTCCTCGCCGTCGCCGTTCGCACGCGTGGCCAGCCTAGAATCCCAGATAACCCTGGAATCCTAAATCCTTCCTCCCCCGTGCCCACCTCCCTCATCCCTCCTCTTCCTCCATTCCCCCTCCTTCTAGGTAACTCCTCCCTGTCGCACCCCGAGGCCAGTTGTTCGGGCGGGCCCGGCGGGTCGCCTGAGGCTCACCATTTATGACTCTGAAGCTTCAAAAGTGCTAACAGCTCCACATATGGAGGGCGGGCCGTTTTCAAAATGTGGCTCTCGCCTGAGCGCCGCGCACAATTTTTCATTATTTTAAAAATATGTGCAATAGTATCACGAATTGAGGGCGGGTGGTTTTCACAATGTGGCTCTCGCCCTCGCGCGGCGCACATTCGTTGAAACACGCAGGAGTTTCACGTATTGAAGGCGGGCGGTTTTCAAAATCTGGCTCTCGCCTTAGCGCCGCGCACAGATTGAGGGCGGTTCCCTTTCAACATGTGGCTCTCGCTTCAGCTGGAAGGATTCAATTATGCGGGCGCAACAATTATGTTGATTCGCGGTGTTGAAGTCCCCAAACTGACGTTCTGGCACGATTCTGGATCGTCAAGACGCAGGTTGATACGTGACGTTGAAATCCCGAGAACAATGTTTTGGCACGCTTCAGAATCTTCAAACGGTTGTCGTCCAACGAGGCAGTTCTCTCAATGGAAAGGAACCGTTGTAGGGGCCTGTGAAGAGGGAGCTTGGAGAGAGGGTTCATCCAAACATCGTTGATGACTCTTGGCTCTTGGGTTTACAAAGGTCCTCCTCCTCCTCTTCCCGATGCATCGGGGCGCTCGGGGTCCTGGGTCCTGGGGCCTTCCCCCCAAAACCTGCAAGTCTGTCCTGCATCGTTTTCTGACCGTCCTGGGGGCCCGTGGAGGGCCCCGAAGGCCCGACAGCTGCGAGCAACAAACCTCCATACCCGCTTCCTTCAGGACCCGCTGTCCCCACGGCGACCCTCCTCCTCCTCCTCCTCCTCCTCCTCCTCCTCCTCCTCCTCCTCCTCCTCCTGCTCCTCTGCGAAAGACCGTCTGCGCCAGGACTGGGGTCGAAGCTGCCGCAAAGGAGAGAGGGGCGGGGGGCCCCCGCAGTGGGGAGAGGGCGCCCCCGCGACGACAGGCTGCGGCGGCGAAACGGCGATCGAGAATCGCCGGTCGTGGGCACTGCGGGGCAACAACAGGGGAGACTAGCATGGGTGAGCTGCTTCGGCAACCCTGAACCATAAATCGTTCTCATCTCTTGGGGGCGCAGTTTTCACTTCCGCAGCATTCCGCCGCCCTTCCGCCGGCTTCCGTCGGCTGGGGCGGCCCCGTTTTACTTCCGCCGACTTTCCGCCGCGCTCCGCCGCGGGAGAGATGGTAACTCCTTCTATCCTCGAAGGCAAGGCCCTTTTTGGAACAAGGGCTCCCAACTTCGCGCTTCGCGCTGCGCGAAGCGCGAAGTGCGAATAACTTCGCGCTCTCGCGCCGCCTCCCAAGGGAGAAGAGGAGGATGAGGAGGAATCGGAGCCGAACCGCGAAGCGCGAAGCGCGAATAACTTCGCGCCCTCGAGGGCGCCCTTGTCGACCTGGAGTCGGCGATACATCGCCGACAGGTCGGCGATGGGCCTCCGACCGTGCCCTCGCATGCTCCTGGGCAGGCTGGGGCTATCGGGCCCCCCATCAGCGATCCATAGGCGCTCGGGGGTCGGTGCGTCCCCCCCCGATGCCTACCCCAGGAGAGCCCAGAATCGAGTCGATAACTCGGATCGGCGATCGAAATGAATGGGATCGGCAGAAATCGGCGGCCGAGTCGGGAAAAGCCGAATCGGCAGAAATCGGCAGGCTAGTATGTCTCCAAGAAGAAGTCGGAACCCGAATCGGAATCCCAAGTCGAATCGAATCGGAATCGGAAGCCATCGAAATCGAATCGAATCGAATCGGAGGAATCGAAACGAGCCCTGCTATCCCCCCCACCATATCTCGGGGATGGACAGAACCCCCTTTAGTAAAACGTGGTTTAGTGAAAACGACCTGAGGCCCAAACCTGGCGGGCGCAAGCCTGGAAAATAACGGCCGCGGCGCCATCTCGAGAACCGAAAACGGACAATTCACTAATCGACGTGTCACTGTTGGGGGTTCTGTCCGCCCCCGAATCCCCCCCACCATATCGTTGCCTTCCGATACCCCGCGGTGCTCGCGTCGCGGGGAAGCGCGCGGCGCGGGAGGTCTTCCGGGCGCGTGCGGCCTCGGGGGGGCCCTCGTCGGGCCCGAGGGATGGAAGTCAGGAAGCGCCTCGGGAGGACGAGCAAAAACCCTGGGGGGAAGGAGGCCAGGACTCCAAGGGGCCCCGAGGGGGGGGGGACCCCGTAAGCAGACTCTTCCCTTACCATTTTGCTGTTTTCCTCGCCCCCCGAAAGGTCGAGGCCCATTTCATCAGCCAGAGCTCGACGATAGCTCCACGACGGCGGCCCTAATGCGCCGATCGGCCTTCTGTGGGCCAGGCTCTGGAGCCGAATCGACAGAATGGTAAGGGATGCGAACCATCACGGGGGGACCCCCCCCCCCAAAAGGGCCCAGAGGGGGATAAAAAAACAACATGGCATCGGATGCCTGGGGATGATGAGCGTTTCTTATGTGGCGTTTCGGCACTGGGCGGAACGAGGGGGGGAGGGAGAGGGCTCTGGCTCCGGACCTCTGCTGAGTACGACTGCTTGCAGCCGTGTGCCCTGAAGGGGACTCCACCTGCTCGAAACAGGCGTCCAAACCAGCCAAGATCTACTCCAGGGGGGGGGTAGGGGGGGTGCGAGGGCCCACGCCGACCGGCGAAATAATGAACAAGACAACTATCACATGTGTCTCGCCTCTTTGTTGCTTCGGTTCTTGGTGCTTGTTTAATATAAAAAGAAGTCCCACCCACCAACCACGACCCACCACCCACCACACTCGACACACTCGACACACCACCTTCCATACACCACACACCACACACGCACAAGAGCACAAACACAAACACAAACACGAATACAAGCACTAACACAACCACAAACGCAAACACAAACGCAAACACAAGCACAACCACAAACACACACACACACAAACACAAACACAAACAAAAACACAAACACAAACACACACACAAACACACACACAAACACGCACAAACACACAAACACAGACACAGACACAGACACAGACACAAGCACAAGCACAAGCACAAACACATACTCGCAGAGCAACTACTCGCAAACCGCCTGGATTCGACGCGGGGGCTTTTCGACACAGAAACTCGAGGCCAACATGTGTTTTTGTCTGGCATTTGCGAATGGGCACACTGGGGGAAACCAATCGGTACCGATACCGCTACGCCCCGGATCTCGCCCTGGATGCGTTCTGACAGAATTTCGAGGCGAATCCAGCGGTGGCGACGAGGGCCCCCCAGCAGGCCCCAAAAGGGGGGAACACGGGCGAAGGGTAGCGGTATATCGGCACCTCTTCCTCCCCAGAACTTTCTGCGAGCAGAAGAAGCGCGCTCCGTGACTCCGGTAGCCCCCACGCCGGGGCCGCCGCCGCCACGCCAGCGTGGCGCGAGCCCACCCCGCAGCGCATGGGCCGAGATAGGAGAAGAAAACATGCCACACGCATAGACTTTGGGCGCTCCGCGCGGATTTCTTGGATCTGCGCTGGACCCCCTCCCTGGAGCATTTTTCGTGGCGTCTACTTTCATGGCCTTTGCCCCCTCCCCCCCCCCACCCCCCTCGCTCCTCTTCAAACGACTACTAGCGTGCAAGTGCCTTTCGACTTGCGCGATTTCCGCATCGTTTGTGGCTTGCTTCAGGTTCAGGCCCCTCCCCGTCCATGCAAGCAAACTTGCCAGGGTCTGACAGCAAGCCTGGCGCGCTCCGCGCGCCAGGGGCGGCGCCGGGGGCGCCGCCCAGGGGGCCCCAGGCGCCGATCCCAGGGAAATCCGCGCCGAGCGCCCGAAGATTTCTGCTCGTGGCGTGCTCTCTTGAAATCCGCGCCGAGCGCCCGAAGACTTTTCTGCTCCTGGCGTGGCTCTCCTCTTCGATGGGCGGCGGCAGCCCGCAGGGCGCGGCCGCCCGGGGCCCGCCGTGCGCGGAGCCGCGCTGCCGCGGGCGCGTGCCCTGCGGGGCTGGGCGGCGGAGGAGGAGGAGGAGGAGGAGGAGGAGGGGGAGGAGAAGGAGGAAAGGGAGGAGGAGGAGGAGGAGGAGGAGAGGAGGAGGAGGAGGAGTGAGGAGGAGGAGGAGGGAGGAGGGAGGAGGAGGAGGAGGAGGGGGAGGGGGGGACGCGCCGCGGAGCCGCCGCCTCGGAGGTCACGGCCGCGGCGCGCCGGCCGGTCGGCGCAGCGGCCTCCGTGCCCCGGGCGCCGCCGCCGCGCGCAGGGCCGCCGCCAGCGCGGCCGGCGGGCGGGCGTGGGCCCTCGCCGCCTGCCTGGCCTGACGCGGCCGGCCGGGCCACCCCGACCCGACCCGAAGGCCCCGATGTGCCTTCCGTTTCCAGTTGGGGGGAGGGGGTCGGGGAACACTGCAGCAGCTCGTGAGGCTCCTCCCCGGCCCTCGCCGGCTGCCTGGCCTGACGCGGCCTACCAGGCCACCCCAACCCGACCCGAAGGCCCGAGCGTCGGGCTGGGGGGGGGGCACGTCGTTCATTTCTAATCGTGGTCATTTCTATATAACTAATTGTGCTCGTTTCTAATTGTTCCTGGCCCCCTAGTGGCCAGGAAGAGGCCCAGGATAGAAGAATTAGGAAAGAAAGGATCTTGGCCCCCTAGAAAATCAAAGAACTTCAGAAGAATGAGAGATGAATAATGTGTACGGGTTCCACGCGAGCTGTTGCAATGTTTCCCGACCCCCTCCCCCCACTGGAAATGGAGGGCGAACCGGGGCCTTCGGGTTGGGGTGGGGCGGTCTGGTGGGCGGTGTTGGCCTGGATCTGGGCCGCGAGGTCTTCGAGGCCGCCTCCAGATCGAGCAGCCCTGCCAGACGCGGAGGCGGTCTCGTTCTTGCCGCCCCTGCCTTCCAAGCTCGTCCCCAGCTCCTTGGCCTCGCGCTTCTCCTTCTTCTGCCAGGCGGCCGCCTTCTTACGGAAATCAGCCTCTTCCTTCTCCGACACGGCCACCTTCAATTCCTGCTTTATTCTTCGCAAATATCGATCGCAATCCGCCGCTTTGGAACCGATCAGACACTCGAACAACTTGAGCAACCCCTTGCCCTCTACAACAATCCGCCTCATGTCTTCCAGCTCGTCAGCTGACCCGTAGTAACTGGCAAGGAACGCCTCAATGTTATCCTCGTCCACTCGCCTGCAGAATTTCCCTGACCACCTTGCAAACAACTCGGTATCCAAATCTTCCTCTAGAGGAGCGATACGGTGTAGGCCCGACCACAAGAAACCTTCTACAAGAAACCCAATCCTGAGCCCGGGGCACCCCATGGCGTCTATTGATTGTTGGTGTTGGAGCGTCACACCTTCCATCGGAAAGCCATCGAAACGCAAGGAACCCAGGGCACCCCGGAGGCAGGCAGGGTGTTTCTTGCCATGGGCTTCCACTGCAATCATCATCACCATGTCTCGGAGGTCCGCGCGGATTTCTTGAGCTGGCGCGGGGCCCCCTTCCACGGCGCGCGGAGCGCGCCAGGGGCGCCAGAGCCATCGCCAGGGGCTCCAGCGCCCACCCGAGAACTCCGCACGGGCTCCGATGAGTCGGGGTCTCTGTGCTGTCTGCTCTTCGAGATCCTCGCTCAGCGTCCCGAACATGTCGTAGTTCCTGCGCTTCTCTGGGTCCTTCCGTCGGAAGCGCAACAAGCTCTGCTGTCCCTGGGCTGGCGCTGGAGCTACCACGTCTGCTCCACACTCCCCGGCAAGTGTTCTCGCTCAGTGGGCTCTTACCTTTTGTCGATGCGTGGCTGGATGGGTCCGCCAGAACTCCGAGTGGTGTGCGGCCACGGGGCCTTCGTGGGTGCCCCGTCCGCCGAAGCTCCGCCCGGTGAGCGCCCGTGGGCCCCCGTGCGCTGGCTGTGCCCGCCCGGGCTTCGCCCTGCGGGCGCCCCGGGGGGGCGTTTCGTGGGCGCCCCGTGCGCCGGCTGGGCCCGCCGAGGCCTCGCCCGGTGGGCGCCTCGTGGGCGCCCTGGTGCGTGCTCGTGGGCGGCTCGTGGGCACCAGCTGTGCGCTGGCTGCTGGCTGGCGCCGCTGGGTTTTTTGTTTTCGGCCCGGTGGGCGCCAGGTGGCGCCCCGTGGGCGCCCCCCTCAGGCCTGGTCATCGCTCGGGCGTCCATGCCCTGTGTTCTTTTTCGGTTTCGTGCGTGTTTCTTTTTCGCCAAGTGATCCAGGATGCTCCTCGATGGTCTTCTTTTTCGGTTTCGTGCGTGGCTTTTTCGCCAAGTGATCCAGGATGCTCCTCGATGGTCCTCGCCGAAGGACAAAAATGCACACGTCCGAGCGATGCCAAGAGGCTGGCTGCGTCCGCCGAGTCTTCGCCTGGTGCGCGCCTGGTTGGACGGGGCCCGTCGGAGCTTGGCGCGGTGGGCGGCCACGGGTGTCCCGTGCGTGGGCGCCCCGTGCGCAGGCTGGGTGCGCCGAGGCTCCACCTGGTGGGCGCCTTTGGCCGCCCACGCGCCCACGTGGGCTTCGTCCTCCTCCTCCTCCTCCTCCTCCTCTTTCTCTTCCTCCTCCTCCTCCTCCTCCTCCTCCTCCTCCTCCTCCTCTTTCTCCTCCTCCTCCTCCTCCGCCTCTTCCTCCTCCTCCTCCTCCTCCTCCTCCTCCTCCTCCTCCTCCTGCCCCAAACAGCTTGCGCCGAATAGATTGCCCCACGCAGATTGCGCCGCATACTGTGCACCTGACGGAAGGCTCGCACTACAGGTCTCACACGCAGCAGCCTGCATCACGCACGTACGTACCCGTGCGAGTAACTCCGTAAAGTACTTTCTGGGTTTTGGGGGAGCGGCCCCTTAGGCGCCAAAGCGGTCCCACAGCGACCCCAAAAGAGACCCCACATAACAAACAAGGGCAGCAAGAAATCATCCACGTGGCCCCACAGCGGCCCCTGAGGCCCCCCAAATCGCTTTCAGCCCCCAGGAGGCCCCCCAAACTGCCAAAACGCCTCGACATCAAAGCGTCCAAGACGCTGCTCCGGCCTGGGCCATGAAACTTCCTGCCTTCGCGAAGCTCGAACGCCTCGGCCCCCGCATCAACTCATTGGGCGCTTTCAGCGGGAGCACTAGAACACTCCAGCGCGCACCACTGAACCTGGATCCGCTCAACCCCGTGGTTTTAATCCAAAGGCACACGCTAGTATGTCACTGTGTAAGCTTTGGCGATTATACCATGCAGCTGCATGGATATTGTGTGCGCGCCACACACAACACACCACACACACAGCACACACATAACGCACACACACAACCGCGCACACTCAAATACACTTACAACGCACACCTACAGAGCACACACAGAACACACACAGAACACACACACGCACACGAAACCACACTCAAGCACAACACACATGCACACATATCACACACAACACCCCCAACACACACACACACACTCACACACAAACAACGCACAGTATATCTCTCTCACACCCACACAAACACACACACACGCACGCATACGCACACGCACACGCACAACACACCGACCACACACAACACGCATGAAACACGCATGCATCACACTTACCGCACACCTGACAGAACACCTGCACACAGTGTGTGTGTATATATATATATCACCCATTACTCACCAAAGGCACATCCTGCACATCTGTTTGCATGAGCCTGGACATGGACGTGGCACAGGTGTGTGAATCTGTATATCTATCTATATATATATGTATTAGAACCACGTGCGCGCTTCGCGCGCGCTGAGGTTTTAGCAGGCACAAAGCCTTGACGAGGTCACTGCTCGACCGAAACAGTGGGCAAGAAATGTCTATAACGCGGAACGCATTATGGGCAATGGGGAGTCCACGCATGTCAACCCAACCCGTATTCCAGAAGGCTTTCGGGGAAGATCTTTGCGTGGGGGGGGCGGAGACCTGATGAATCGGATTTCCAGTAAGCTTTCTGGGAACATGGTTTTTGGGGTGTCTTGGGGAGCCTGTTGAGGCGTGCTGTCGTCGTCATAATGTCGTCGTCGCCTCTTGGGGCGCGCCGTCGTCGTCGTCGTCGTCGTCGTCGTCGTCGTCGTCGTCGTCGTCGTCGTCGTCGTTGTCGTCGTCGTCGTCGTCGTCGTCGTCGTCGTCGCGTCGTCGTCGTCGTCGTCGTCGTCGTCATCGTCTTCGTCGTTCTGTCATCTTCGTCGTCGTCGGATGGACCCCTCCCGAGATCCATCCAACGCGGTTTTCCCCTCCAGAGCGAAGCCCGACGACCCCAGAGCCCGAGAACGGCCCCCGACGGCAGCAAGCGCCGAACAACCGTTTCGAAAATCGAAATTCGAAGTTCGTCGTCGTCTTCGTCACCGCCACCGCCGTCGTCGTTTCGTCGTCGGCAGAGCAGGTGATCAGTCATGTTCCCAATCAACTTCCCGGTAGCGTGACGGTACTTCGGAGCCTCCGAAAACTCTGGGGCCCATGATCAACCATGTCCCCGGAAAGCTTTCTGGGGACATGATTTGTTCGGGTGTGTTGGGGGGCCTCTTGGGCGTTCCCTGGAAGCCCCTTGGGGGCCTCTTGGGGCTTCCTGGGGGCCTCTTGGGGGCCTCACGGAGCTTCTTGGGAGCCTCTTGGTGGCCTCTGGGTGCCGCCAGAGACCTCGAAATATCTGCTCATTGTCCCCTTATGGGCCACTTCTTGGGGCGCGGGCACACTTGGTTGTCAGGGGAGCCTCCTAGACCGCCTTGGGGCCCTCTTCGGGGCCTCGTGAGCCGTCTTGGAAAAATATGAAGGGCCGCCGAGGCCGTGAGGGAGCGCTGGGAAGCAGGAAAAGCGAGAGTACCCAATTCCTCCCAAAATCAAAAAGGTTCCCCTTGGGACCCCCTTGGGCCCTCTTGGGAGCCTGTCGTGGCCCGTTTCGGGGCGAGCCCGGGCGGTCTCGGGAGCCCTGGGACCGCTCCAGAACACCCGAGGGGCGCCCATGGGGGGGTACAGGCACCGGCCCAGTGCCCCCTCCCCGGCCTACTCCGATATGTGTGTGTGTATATATATATATATATATATACTAGTGTGGACCCGTGGATTAAATCCACGGAGTTGCGCCGTCGCAGTCTTCGGTGCCGTCATCGTCGTAACCGTCGGCGTCGGCGGCGGCGGCGTCGGCGTGTTCTTCGGCGTGGGAGTCCTGTTGGGCCGTCTTGGGGCGGTCTATGAAGCGTCTGGGGCCGTCGTGGAGCATCGGGATGCGAAAACTCGTACAAGGCCAAAATGTACGTTTTCCTATGGAAATTTGACGATGTTGGCTTCCTGGGGTTCTGTGCGGAAGGTTTGGGGGCCGTCTTACGGGATCTTGGAGGTCTCTTGGGCCGTGTTTGCGGTCTCTCAGAAGCTCCGGCGCCGTTTCGGGCCTCTGCGGGCGTCTTCCGGAGCCGTTTCATGGCCTCTGGGATGCCCTCGTGGGCCGTCGTGGGAGCCTCTTCAAGTTCTGTTGGGCCGTCTTGGGGCGGGCTATGAAGCGTCTTGGGCCGTCTTGGAGCCTCGGGATGCGAAAACTCGGACATGCCCGAAGTGTACGTTTTCCCGTGGGAATTTGACGATTTTGGCTTCCCGGGGCTCTGTGCGGAAGGTCTCATGGGATCTTGGAGGTCTCTAGGGCCGTGTTTGTGGTCTGTCAGAAACTCCGGCGCCATTTCGGGCCTCTGCGGGTGTCTTCCGGAGCCGTGTCAGAGCCCCTGGGATGCCCTCTTGGGCCGTCGCGGGAGCCTCTTAGAGTCCTGTTTGGCCGTCTTGGGGCGGTGTATGAAGCGTCTTGGGCCGTCGTGGAGCTTTGGGATGCGAGAACGCGCACATGCCCAACATGTACGCTTTCCCTATGGAATTTGACGATTTTGGCTTCCTGGGGCTCTGTGCGGAAGGCTTTGAGGGCCGTCGTGCAGGATGTTGGAGGTCTCTGGGACCGTGGTGGGGGTCTCTCAGGAGCTCCGGCGCCATGTCGGGCCTCTCCGGGTGTCTTCCGGAGCCGTTTCGGGGCTCCTGGGAGGCCCTCTGGGGCCGTCGTGGGAGCCTTTTGGAGTCCTGTTGAGCCGTTTTGGGGCGGTCTATGGAGCGTCTTTGGCCGTCGTGAAGCATCGGGATTTGAAAAGTCGCACATGCCCAAAATGCAAATTTCCCTAAGGAAATTTGACGATTTTGGCTTCTCGGGGCTCTGTGCAGACGGCTTTGGGGGCCGTCTTACGGGATCTTGGAGGTCTCTTGGACCGTGTTGGGGGTCTCTCAGGATCTCCCGCACCGGTTCGGGCCTTTCGGGGTGTCTTCCGGAGCCGTTTCAGGGCCCCGGGGAGGCTCCGGGAGGCTCGGGGACCCGGGGGCCCACACAAACCCACAAGGTATCTTACGGATTTATTTGAGTGGATATATATATACACACAGATACACACACAAGACTGAAGTGGCGCTTCGCGCCACGCATCTTGGTCCTTGTAGTGTGGCATGGAGGCGGAATAGCAGGAAGGTCAGGCCGACAATTTAGCGATAACTCCTTGTTGTCTTTTCTGGCATCGTCGCTATAGTAATGTCATTCGCTATCCTTCCTCCATGTTTCTTTTTCCTCATGTTCGCCATACCCTGCGCATTCTCCCCATCCTCCTCAGCTCTTTTTTTGCGGAGGCTCCTCCTTGGAGAGCCTCTG